GGCTCCTGGCTTCAGATCGGCGCAGCTCCGGCCATTGCGGCCATCTGGGGAGTGAACCAGTGGATGGAAGACCTCACTCTCTCTGCCTCTGCTTCTCTGTAACTCTGCCTTTCAAATATGTAAGTCTTTAAAAAGAGAGAGAGAGAGAGAAATAGAGAAAGAGAGAGAGAGAGAGATGCTGGGCCCACAGGAAGCAAAGGGCAGAACATAAAAAGAGATGAAAAAGTAGACTTGAAGTAATGGAAATAAATACCATGCCTCCAGATGAGAAAGCTAAACATGAAGCTATTGGTTTTTCAAAACTAATTCTTAGGCCAGCGCCGCGGCTCAATAGGCTAATCCTCCACCTTGCGGCGCCGGCACACCAGGTTCTAGTCCCGGTCGGGGCGTCGGATTCTGTCCCAGTTGCCCTTCTTCCAGGCCAGCTCTCTGCTGTGGCCAGGGAGTGCAGTGGAGGATGGCCCAAGTACTTGGGCCCTGCACCCCATGGGAGACCAGGAGAAGCACCTGGCTCCTGCCATCGGATCAGCATGGTGCGCCGGCCACAGTGCGCCGGCCGTGGCAGCCATTGGAGGGTGAACCAACGGCAAAAGGAAGACCTTTCTCTCTGTCTCTCTCTCTCACTGTCCACTCTGCCTGTCAAAAAATTAAAAAAAAAAAAAAAAAAAAAAGGCTGGCACCGCGGCTCACTAGGCTAATCCTCCGCCTAGCGGCGCTGGCACACCGGGTTCTAGTCCCGGTCGGGGTGCCGGATTCTGTCCCGGTTGCCCCTCTTCCAGGCCAGCTCTCTGCTGTGGCCAGGGAGTGCAGTGGAGGATGGCCCAGGTGCTTGGGCCCTGCACCCCATGGGAGACCAGGAAAAGCACCTGGCTCCTGGCTCCTGCCATCGGATCAGCGCGGTGCGCTGGCCACAGCGCGCCAGCCGCGGCGGCCATTGGAGGGTGAACCAACGGCAAAAGGAAGACCTTTCTCTCTGTCCCTCTCTCTCACTGTCCACTCTGCCTGTCAAAAAAATTAAAAAAAAAAAAAAAGTCAGGCTAAGGGGCCAGCATTGTGGTGCAGCACGTAAAGCTGCTGCTTGCTGCTATATGGGTTCAAGTCCCAGCTGCTCCGTTTCCAATCCAGCTCCCTGCCAATGAGCCTGGAAAAGCAGTGGGAGATGGCTCAAGTGCTTGGGCCTCTGTACCCACGTAGAAGACCCAGAAGAGTCTTCAGCCCTTGGCTTCTGTCTGGCCCAGCCATGGCATTTGGGGAGTGAACCAGCAGATCTCTCTCTCTCTCTCTCTCTCTCATTTTTTAAGATTTGTTTATTTGAAATGTAGAGCTACAGAGATAGACAGAGAGACAAAGAGATCTTCTATCTGCTGGTTCACTCCCCAAGTGTCAGCAATGGCTGGAGCTGGGCTGATCTGAAGCCAGGATCCAGGAGCCTCTCCTGGGTCCTCCACGTGGGTGCAAGGACCCAAGGACTTGGGCCATCCTATACTGCTTTCCCAGTAGGGAACTGGATCAGCAGGGAACTGGATCGAAAGTAGAGAAGCCTTGAACTGGCACCCATATGGGATGCCAGCACTACAGATGGCCGCTTTACCAGCTATGCCACAGCGCTGGCGCCTCTCTGTCTCTCTCACTTTCTGTATCTCCCTATCTCTCTCACTGTAACTCTGATTTTCAAATAACTGAAATAAATCTTTTTTTAAAAAAATCAAGCTAAAAACTGATGTTATACTAAACACTTAAATTCCAGATCAATTTAACAGTCAAGCCAAAGAATCAAACAACAAAGATTAGAAAAAATATCGATGAATATTTAGTCTTCTAATAGGAAAGCATAAACCCTGTGGAAGAAATGCTTAAAATATTCATAATATTATGGCACCTTTCGTGGCCATTAAAATGAAGTTTTTCACAGGGCTTTTAGGAATCATGGGGAGACACTCTCACAATAATGAAAAGCAGGACATAAAGCTGAATCAGAGTGACAGTGTAAATTAAATTTTAAAAATACTAAAATGATAAAACTACACACACCCATAAAAAAGAATGGTGGGTGCCCCAAGCCATCCCATCACCTCTCAGGTGATAATTATCTCCAGATGGTGGGCTACAGGCAAATTTTTACTTTCTCCTTTGAATTTTACAGTCCCCTCCCCCTCATATTTTCTAGTATGGCTACATGTTTCTTTTATAATAAGAAAAATAAGGCTGCTGTTTAAAAAAAAGATTTGGCAGGATAAGAATACAAAAAGCAATCAAATTCATTGACTGCAAAAAAGCTTAAAATGTAGATAGGTGCTGAATTCACATTTCACGTGGAGGTCGCTTCACAGTTTAAAGCTTAATAAAGTAGAAACCACACAAGATTTTGCAGGAGCCTGGGAACCATGCACCATGCTGGGAGGCCTAAGGGGCGGGGCTGGCGCTTCCTCCCAGGCCAGCCAGGAGCCAGCAGCCCGGCAGGGCAGCCGTCCTGGTGTGGGTTCCCACCCCGGCAGGCAGGCAGGCAGGCAGACGGAGAAGCCGCATTCCCAACAAACTTGGCTGCCAGCCCAGTCACTTCCTAGATGAGCTCCCTAGGGGCCTCCCTAGGGCGTCTCCTGGGAGAGGCCCTCTGCCCAGCCAGTGTGCTGTCGGGCACGCAGGGCAGCCCCACCGAGCTTCCCCTGGGCCACTGTGAACTCCCCACACCTCTGACCAACGTCCAAGTGGGAGCAGCAAGGGCAGGCGCAGATGACAGGGGCTGGTTTGAGTCCTTGGGGTATGCGCCACTCCAAAGCCCATTCGACTACCTAAGCACGCACTGATATAAAACTGTCTCCGTGAGAGCCCCTCCCGGTTCTCCACCAAGCTCCCTCTCCCCCGCCTTTCCTGTTTCCACCACTGTGCCAAGGGAACACCCACGAGAAACAGGGATTTCCAACCATCCCCCTCCTCCCCACGGAGCCTGTACTTCCAGGACCAAGACTCCTGCACCTCCACCCCCAGAAATAGTCCTTAGTGCCCCATCAAACCAGAGGCTGTCTCCACATATTTCATAAAAAGAAACACAGGACACTCAAGTTAAGTTGGAATTGAAGTTAAGCTGGAATTGGAATGAACAAGTTGGAATTGAAGATATATAACCAATCATTTCTCAGTGTAAACATGTCCTATTTGATCCATCCCACCCCACCCCACCCTTGAAACACTTTTTGCTTCTGTCACTCATCAGAAACACCATCTGCTATAGGGGGCTGGCGTTTGATCAGAGTGCTCCAGATTCCAGCTTCCTGCTAATACGCACCCTGGGGGGCAGGTGATGGCTCAAGTGGTCGGGTCCCTGCCACCCATATGGGAGACGCAGGTGAAGTTCCAGGCACCTGGCTGCAGCCCTGGCCCGGGAGATCTCAGTCTGTCTCTATGTCCTTATGTCTTTTAAATAGAAAATGAAGATTAATGTAACAAATACTGTCTAGTACAAAACACCATCCTCCTAAAACCCCCCATGAAGCACTGTCCTCCCTCAGCCCTGGCACATGGAACGTGGCCACAGGACACATTATTTCCTCCTGTCAATTACTTTTTTTTTTTTTTTTTTTTTTTGACAGGCAGAGTGGACAGTGAGAGAGAGAGACAGAGAGAAAGGTCTTCCTTTGCCGTTGGTTCACCCTCCAATGGCCGCCACGGCCGGCACACTGCGGCCGGCGCACCGCGCTGATCCGATGGCAGGAGCCAGGTGCTTCTCCTGGTCTCCCATGGGGTGCAGGGCCCAAGCACCTGGGCCATCCTCCACTGCACTTCCTGGCCACAGCAGAGAGCTGGCCTGGAAGAGGGGCAACCGGGACAGAATCTGATGCCCCGACCGCTAGAACCCGGGGTGCCGGCGCTGCAAGGCTGAGGATTAGCCTATTGAGCCGCGGCGCCGGCCGTCAACTACTCTTACCCCTGGTTCACAATGCTGGCCCCCATCTCCTCTTTCCTGGATAAGTGGACACCCCATGACCCGTCTCTACACGGGACATCATCTTCTCTGTGGACCCCCTGTCCCCAAGTGAAACGTGTGCCTCTCTCTCCTGCTACGGTGAGATCTACACTGGCTTCCAGGCCTGGGCTAAGCACCCTGTATCTCACAACAGCCCTTGCAGACAGACATTGGCAACTTTACTACCTGTCCAAGATCACACCATGTCAAGGGTCGTCAGACTTGTGCATAGATACAGCTGACTCCAAAACCTGGATAAACCCAGGGTAAACTGGCACTTGCTGGACACTTAGTAGTTTTCAAAATTCTCTTTTTCTAAAGACAAACTGAATTATTTGAAAGTTAGAGTCACAGAGAGAGGGAGAAACAGATAGAGACAAAGACAGATGTCTTCCATCCACTGGTTCACTCCCCAGGTGGCTGCAACAGCCGGAACTGAGCCAGGCTGATGCCAGGAACCAGAAGCTGCATATCCCAGTCTCCCACATGGGTGCAGGGGTCCCAACTCCTGGGCCATTTTTTGCTGCTTTTCCCAGGCCAGCGGCAGGGAGCTGGATTGGAAGTGGAGCGGCTGGGATACAAACCGGTGCCCACATGAGATGCCGGCGTCACAGGCAGTTTTATCCACTACACCATGGTGCTGGCCCCCAAAAGTCTTCTAACGAGTGTCCAGGCTGACTCTCTGCACGCTGCAGCCCACGCTGCTCCTCAGTGCCCCTTTCAAATGCTGTGGCCTCGGCACAGTTCCAGAACACTGGTCCCTCCCCCACTCCCCTCCAGGGCACAGCCCCCTCAGCCATGGACCCCTAGGCCCTCAGAGACAGGCTCAGTCAGGCCGCGCTGCCCACACGCCTGGCATCTGGAGACTGGCTGGGTGAGGGCCATGCCTGTGGTCCCCTGCTCCTGGCGGGAACTGTGTGCCCTCCCCACCCCTTCTATAAATAGCCCACTGCTCCCTGGCTGCCGAGCAGTTGGAGCAAGAGTTTCCATGAGGTCAGCTTCCCAGGGCAGCCTCCAGGCACCCAACACCCCCACTCACCTCTCCCGGAGTCCTGTGGACGGCTCGCCCCTGCAAGGGGCTGTCGCGGGTGCTGTGTCTCCGCCGGGCAGGGGGTGTAGGCACCTGAGCAGAGCCCTGGGCAGGGGCCTTCCCTAAGCTCTGGGCCCCATGCTCTGGAGTTTGACTCAAGGGAGAAACAGGCTTGCTGTCAGCAGTGGGCTCCGCTCTGGGCTTTGGAGGGGCAAATCTCTTCCTGTTAACGGGCCTAGTTGGCTGTGGGGCCAAGGAGGGCAGGGACTGGCCAGGAGCAGCAGGCACCCTCTCCCCTCCAGCCTCAATGGACAGCTGCCCTGAGAGGTTCTCTCCAGATACCCTGACACTTGGGGTCTGCGACCCCTCCTCGCCCTGAGGCCTGGCTGCCCGGGTGCTTTCCATGTACATGTCCTTCAGGGAGAAATATACTTCCTGGGTAGGGCCTGGGGCAGAGCTATCCTGGGCCTTGTCATTAGTCCCCATGGCAGAGGCTGGTTTTCCGGTGTTATCCACCCTGGAGGGCCCAGGGCCACGTGAGGCCCTGCCTCTAGGCTGGCTGTGGCCCTGCCCCACGTCCGTGGGCCCCTGTGTGGCCCGGGCATCAGGCTTGTTAGAACTCGGGGTGTTGCTTTCTGAAGAGCGGTGGCTTCCGACTGCCTTCTCTAACTCTGGCTTCCGCACACTTTGCTTAGATTCCTCCTCTTTCTTTTTCTTCTTGGCCCGAGACTCCTTCTTGGGGGCTCTGTGGGGCCGCAGCTCCATGGCCTCACAGATGTAGGTCAGCAGGCCATGTTCTCCATCCTCCCCGTTCTCGGGGGCTGCCTCCCCGTTGGTGGGCATCTCTTCAGGAGCAAAGCTGGTGATCAGGCCCAAGTCCGGGTGCTGAGCAGATTCAGTGTCTCCCTCCTGCCAAGTCCGGGACCCTTCTTCTGCCTCCCTGGCTGGGGCTGGGGGGCCAGGCGCCTGTCCCCCGCTCAGCCGCCGCTTTCGCTGGAAGCGGTCAGGGCTGAGCTTGCGCAGGACGTCAGCTTCCCCTACGGCCTCCTTTCCGTGCTTCCAGCTCTGCTCGATCTCACGCATCTTTGCTGCAGCCTTGCGCTTCAACTTGGCAAACCAGCGCTGGTGGATCTTGTACTCAGTCATGGTGCCCACCTCCAGGACCCCTGAGCAGGACACAATGCCCTTGGTGTTCCGGGCAGAGGCCTGGTAGATGGCCGCGTCCTCTTCTCGACACCTAGAGGTAGGAGCGTGAGGTGCTACCTGGGCTCTCCCAGGAGGCGAGAGCCCTGCTCCCCACAGCCAGAGTCTTCCAGAGTTGAGCATGCTTCCCTCAACGCGGAAGTCCCGCCCCGAGTGCCACACCCACCTCAGACATCACCATGCACAGCATCTCGGGTACAGCTGAGGAAACTGAGGCCCACAGGAGGGCAGCCACTGACCCAGGTCGTGCTGGCCCGGGGGGATTAGCGTGGGGCCCAGGAGAGCTCCCTAGGAAGCGGGTGACCAGCACAGCCGTCCTGAGGTAGTGGTGACACACTTGCTTTTCTCGGCAGCTGACCTCACGGAAAATGTTTCTGTGGATCAGGACCTCCTCTAGTTGCACTCGGCTCTGACTGCCCCCACCCTGGCCTTAGGGGATCCCAGACACCGGCAGGCAGATGCGGGTCCCTGGTGGCTCAACTCAGCCACAGAACCCCGCCCTCTACCTCCAGATACTGCCTGGGCCTCTCCATCCAGCCAACACCGCTACTGAGGGTGGGCTGTGGGCCAGGCAGAGAGGGCGGGACAGGCCCTGCTGCCCTCACCTGTATAGCTGCAGTGTGTGGCGGTTGCCCTGGTGAGTGATCTCGTACTTTGGCAAGCCACAGTATCGGTCCAGCTCTGTGTCATCTTTGTACCAGGTCACCTCTGGCTCTGGGTATCCTGAGAAGGAGGCAAGAGATCAGGATGTAAGAAGGTGAGTTCTGAAATAGCGGGAGGAGACAACAGGCAGCCACAGCTTCCCCACACCGCCCAACAGGACTGGGCAGGACCACCTGCCCCAGGCTTGCCGGAAGCACAGTGCCACTGACACCTGGCTCGTTTCCAGAAGCTAGGCCCTGTCAAAGCTGAGACATTTCCCTCTCAGCAACTGCAAGGGGAATGTGGAGGAGAAACCTCGTGGCTTCCTATTGAGAAGAGAAGCAAAGAGTTCCGGAAATCTCCCCTGGCAGTAACGCTTCCTTTCTGCAGTGGCCCATCCTACATCTCCCTCTGCAGCAGGGACTCTGTCCTCAGATGCCGCCTCTTCCCTAGCACCCCACCACCACCATCAACGCCAACAGCCCTCTGCTTTCATTCCAGGTTCCTAAAGTGTTGGTGCTATCCATCTGTTCATCAGCTGGACAGTCCATCTGTCCACCAATTCATTCACTCATCCATCATCCATCTATCAATTCACCCATGCCTAACTACCCAGCCCATCACCGTAGTGAGACCACCTGCGTTATCTGCCCAGTCCCTCTTCTCTGGGTACTTCCAGCCCACTCCCAAGGAAGAGCTTCCAACTGTCCAGCAGTGGGCACACAATTAGCCAAGTTAGTCCAATTCTTTGACCCAGGACTTGAGAATCAGGACCCAGAGACAGTCTGAAAACAACACTCCGAGGGGTGGAACTGCTGCATTCTGCCACACAGACCAGGAAGCAGACAGGGCCAGTCTGCAGTGAGACCCGGAAAAGTGAAGCCAGTGTTCACGCTGGAAGAAGAGACAGGAAGCTCAGAGTCCCAACACGCTTCCAAGTCCCAGGTCCACTCCTTTCTGAGCACAGCTGCCCTCCCGTACCCAACTCCGTGACAAACCCCCAACTTACCAATGGATTCTGCCTCACTGCTTAAGCTGACTCCAACAAGTTGCATTACTAACTGTTAGAAATCAAAGACTCGTAACATGCATCCATTCAAATACATGGAAGCAAGCCAGACAGGCACTCTGTTCTCAGGAAACTCTGCATAGTGGAAAAGAGAAGGCAGCAATGCAACAGCAAGCACGCAGGCCTGGCCGTGCCCACACCCACGGTTAAATGCGCCCCTATGGAAAGCAGCCTTCGCCGATCCAGTCTCCTCGTGTCCAGCCAAGGGTATCTTTCCCGCAGTTATTACTGTTCTTCTCTGTACCACTGAATTCTTCCTCTCTTGCCCCTTGTTCCTGCCACCACCTGGGCCTGCTGCGCTGTTTCCCTTCTTTAAAAAGTCCTCTTTGGGGCCAGCGTTGTGGCACGATGCTGCCTGCAGTGCCAGCATCCCACGTGAGCACTGATTCAAGTCCCAGCTGCTCCATTTCCACTTCAACTCCCTGTTAATTCGCCTGGGAAGGCAGCAGAGATGGTCCAAAGGCCAGTGGGAGACCTGGATAGAGTTCCAAGCTCCTTGCTTTGGCCTGGCCCAGTCCCAGCCATTGTGGTCATTTTGGAAGTGAACCTGTAGATGGGAGATCTTTCTCTCTGTAGCTCTGCCTTTCAAATAAATGTCTTTAAAATAAAATGGTTTTTTAAAAAAACATACACACAAACTCTTTTGATTCTATATCCTCAAATATGTGTAGCTCCTGCCCCAACTGCTCTGCTCTCTCCTTTTTTTTTTTTTTTTAAGATTTACTTATTTATTTATTTGAAAGAGTTATACAGAGAGAGGACAGGCAGAGAGAGAGAGAGCGAGGTCTTCCATCTGATGGTTCACTCCCCAACTGGCTGCAACAGCCGGAGCTGGGCCAATCCGAAGCCAGGAGTCAGGAGTTTCTTCCTGGTCTCCCACATGGTGCAGGGGCCCAAGGACTTGGGCCATCTTCTACTGCTTTCCCAGGCCATAGCAGAGAGCTGGATTGGAAGTGGAGCAGCCAGGTCTCAAACCACCGCTCACATGGGATGCGGCGCTTCAGGCTAGGGTGTTAACCTACTGTGCCACAGTGTTGGCCCTGCTCTCTCCTTTATAGAAAAAGTCTTTTTTTTTTTTTTTAATTATTTATTTATTTGAAAGGCAGAGTTACAGAGAGGCAGAGGCAGAAAGAGAGAGAGAGAGAGAGGGAGAATCTTCCATCCACTGGTTCATTCCCCAGATGGCCGTAATGGTTGGAGCTGGGCTGATCAAAAGCCAGGAGCCAGGAGCTTCTTCTGGATCTCCCAAGCAGGTGCAGGGGCCCAAGGACTTGGGTCATTTGAGTCATTGTCTACTGCTTTCCCAGGCCATAGCAGGGAGCTGGATCAGCAGTGAAACAGCTGGGATTCGAACTGGCGCCATATGGGATGCCAGCACCGCAGGCAGCAGCTTTACCCACTACACCACAGCGCCAGCCCCAGAGAAGTCTCTGAAAGATCTTTCTACTCTACCTGCACTTCCCTCCTGCAGTCAGACCTCTGCGCCCACCACTGCACCAGAACGCCCTTGCCAGGGTCACCCACGGTTCTGCCAAATCCAGTGGCCGACTCCCACGTCCCATCTGGCCAGTGGATCAGTGGTGTGGACTCCACTTCCTGAAACCTTGTCCTCACCTGCTGCTGGGACCGCATTCACGCTGGCCATTCCTCCTGCCTCACAGGCACTTCCTCCAATGTCCCCCCGCCCCACCTGCCCAGGGCTCGGGGGTGGGGTCATTCTCCCTTTTCTCCTCCACTCACAGCCTGCAGGAGCCAATCCTATCCAGTGCACTCACAGCTCCAGATCTCCGTCGGGGCTCAGACCTCTCCCCAAGCTACACCCCGGCATCTGCACTTGCAGGTCTAAGAGGCATCAGAGTGACCGTACCCTAAGTCCACATCCTCTCTCTCCAAGCCAGCTCCCAAGTAGCTCAGGACAGGGCAACTCCAACCACCTAATCTGACCTGGAGGCAACCCCTTTACTCCTTTTGCCTCGAGCATCCACTCCCTCAGGCACTCCTACGGGAAGGAATCTGGTCCCTTCTCATTCTCCACCGCCAGCCTGGCCCACATCCCCACCACCTCACCTGAGCTCTCTAACAACCTCCTCGGGGATCTCACTCACTGCTCCTGTCCTGCCCCTCTCTTCAGGCCACTCTTAGCCCAATGGCCAGAGCAAGCCTTTGAAAACAGGTCACGAGCCGGCGCCGCGGCTCACTAGGCTAATCCTCCACCTTGAGGCGCCGGCACACCGGGTTCTAGTCCCGGTCGGGGCGCCGGATTCTGTCCCAGTTGCCCCTCTTCCAGGCCAGCTCTCTGCTGTGGCCAGGGAGTGCAGTGGAGGATGGCCCAAGTACTTGAGCCCTGCACCCCATGGGAGACCAGGAGAAGCACCTGGCTCCTGCCATCGGATCAGCGCGGTGCGCCGGCCGCAGCGCGCCGGCTGCGGCGGCCATTGGAGGGTGAACCAACGGCAAAGGAAGACCTTTCTCTCTGTCTCTCTCACTGTCCACTCTGCCTGTCAAAAAAAAGAAAAGAAAAAAGAAAAAAAAGAAAACAGGTCACGGTGCTCCACAGCCTCAAACGCTCGGAAAGCCCCCGTGGCACCCAGGCCCTCGTGATCCAGGCCCCTTACTGGGCTGGCCTCATCTCCCACTGCTGGCCCCTGACCGACTGCTCCCTAGCCACTCGGTGCTGCCGGCCTCACTGCGGGAGGGAGACATTTCAGCTCTGCCAGGCCTCTGGCCACAGCTGCAGCCTCCGAAAGGCCTCCCCTCTACCAGGTGGAGCACCACCCCTCCCCCCAGCACCCGCCCCCTCACTGGGCGGAACAGCAGACGCCCTCCTTCTGACAGCGACAGTGGTGGAAGGACCAACTCTGGGACACAGGGACTCTCCTGGTGATCTCTGCTGTGAACCCAGTCCCTAGAACAGTGCCTGGTGTGGAATCAACACAGATTTATAGAGGAATACACACAGGGAAGGGAGCCATCACCTCTGGCCGCAGAGGCAGAAAAGGCTTCTGGGTGAGTGGCCCTGGAGTTAGACCTGAAGGGCAGGCGGAATGCAGACAACGTGGGCTCGGTGCCCCCGCTCTCCTCCCAGAGCTCTAACTTCAGCAGTACCTCCCCTCCTCGGCGCCAATCACAATGCTACCGTGGACTGTTTCCTGTCCCTCCTGCTTGACTTGGGTCCCGTGTGGCCAGGAATCCTCTCTTGTGCTGTTTTATCTCCACCACCTAACACAGTAACTGCTCATAGCAGTTACTAAAAACAAATCTTCTGGCCGAGTCAGGAGACAAGAGGCAAATGCAGTGGGTGGAAGGGTGTGCCCGACAAAGGACCTGCATCAGCAGTGTGTGAGCAAAGGGCAGGGGGGAGCCGTGCGCAGGCCAGGAGCAAGGGAGGTGAAGCTGCAGCTGGCTCAGCCAGGGACCAGCTCGGCAGCCGCGGCTGTAAAGGGAGCCCCATGTTTCCACTGTGAGCTAAGGCTGCTGGTTACATCACTCTGTGTGTGGCCAGGGCCAGCACAGGTGGCCTCACCATCCTGTAGGATGATCTCACCCCAGCACAGCCTCCAGGGCACCCGAGTCCAGTCGGCCTAGGGGGAGGGGGGAGGAGTGGAGCAAGGGGATGTCTAACGGATCTCCAAGGCTGGGGTCTCATGCTGCCACGCCACCTACGGTGCCTCCCCACACAGTGGGGGCTGACGTAACACCTTAGGGCTTCCTGGCGACAAAGGGCCTTGGAGTAAAGTAATCTGGGAGGGGGCGTTGCTTGGTCCCCTGGGTAATGCGAAGTGCATCCTGGAGCAGGGGGCAGGCCCCTCACAGCCCGCCCACTGTGATGCCCCTCACAGCCCGCCCACTGTGCGTGCCCCTCACAGCCCGCCCACTGTGCGTGCCCACTCACAGCCCGCCCACTGTGATGCCCCTCACAGCCCGCCCACTGTGCATGCCCACAGACAGCCCGCCCACTGTGATGCCCCTCACAGCCCGCCCACTGTGCATGCCCACTCACAGCCCGCCCACTGTGCGTGCCCACTCACAGCCCGCCCACTGTGATGCCCCTCACAGCCCGCCCACTGTGATGCCCCTCACAGCCCGCCCACTGTGATGCCCCTCACAGCCCACCCACTGTGTGTGCCCACTCACAGCCCGCCCACTGTGATGCCCCTCACAGCCCACCCACTGTGATGCCCCTCACAGCCCACCCACTGTGTGTGCCCACTCACAGCCCACCCACTGTGTGTGCCCACTCAGCCCGCCCACTGTGTGTGCCCACTCACAGCCCGCCCACTGTGCATGCCCCTCACAGCCCACCCACTGTGCATGCCCCTCACAGCCCACCCACTGTGATGCCCACAGACAGCCCCACATAGGCCCGGGCCTGTGGCCTTCCCTCTGCCCCTTCCCTCCCTGTGACCCCTGCTCCCAGCCAGCAGGCCCACCTAGGGATGTCAGCCCATTCCCGACCATTCCCCCAGTTCGAGGCCCCAGCTCATCCCCGACTATTCCCTGATTGGAGAGGCTCAGGGACAGAAGAACGAATGGGGATTTCTTTCAAACAAAGTCCAGACACAGATACCTGCTACCCTCAAGTCCAGCCTGGGCAGCCTGAAGACCCGCTGCGTGCAGAGGCTGAGCTGGATACCCTTCCTCTGTAGCTCCTCTACTCCTCACAAAAGTCCCCTGTGGATTGTTCTGTTACTAATCCCAATTTAAGGAAGAGGAAATCAAGGCTAATTAAAGCTCTTGCCCGAAGTCTCCTGGTCAGCAAGCAGAAGCAGCAGAATCCAAACCCTTCTCCTCTATAAAATAGGCAGGTGCTCTCATTCCTATTCTATACAAGAGGGAAATGAAGCTCAGAGGGGCTGAGTAGCACCCACCGCCACACAGCTGGCACGTGCAAAGCCCCCGGTTTCCTTTCCCTTCTTCCAGTGCTCTTTCCACTGGGAGGTCTGGGACCAGCACGCGGTTGCTCCTAGCAATGACATCAGACTTATTTCTTCAGACAAATGTTTCTTCAGGGGCTTGGTTCTGTCTAAAGGCTCAGTCCCTTTGTACAACCCGCCTGCTGCCGCTTCCTCCTTCCACCCCAACACGCGTACGCACACCCACAATCCACACCAGAGTTCCAGGGGGTCGGGAGGGAGGCACCACAGCGGACAGAGGCAGGCAGGCAGACCGAAGGACAGCAGGAGCCAGGAAAGCATCACCCAGTGGAGCTGACGAGTCCCAGCCTGCTTAGGGGGGAGGTACGAGTGGTCACTGTCTCCAGCACAGGAGTCTCCCCAGAGGCCAGGCATCACCAGTGCCCGCCTCTCCAGGCCGGGAGATCCAGTTTCCAGCCCCGACCTCTTAGGTCTGGGCACCTTCACTATCACCCGCTCCCTGGTCTGACTGGAAAAGCTTGTGGATGGTGTACTAAGTGATCAGAGCCTTCTTCCCTAGTTCGCTACAGAAAATGCAGGTAACCTGAGATTTTGGATGGATGTGGGGAGGTACAGGTACAGCAGTGAACTTCAGCATGACCATCAGAGCTAGCCGGAGCCCTGCGCACCTCACGGCCTCTGCTGGCAGCCCAGTGAGGGGTCCTGAGCAGGAGACCACGGCTCTGGCTGGCTGCATGAGATGAGCATGGAAGTTTGCTCTTTTGAGTTAGGCACGAAAAAGGGAAAAACCTGTTTCTACTGCATTGATGACATGAGGAATGTTCAGGAAAAGGCTCCAAGATTCTACAGGCCAGACTCGTGTGGGGTCTCCACACTGCACTCAGAGCCCACAGCTACAAAGGACAGAGTGGAAGGAGAGAAGGGAGCCGCCCATGAGCCATCTCTGACATCTGTACTTCTTGAGTGGGCCCACGTCCCTCGGCAGCTGCTGTTTCCCGGGCACCAAAGGTGTTGTGCAAAGAGGAAAAGCCAGCGATTTCGTCATGAGCACAGCCAGGGTTCACTGTGGTCATCCTGTAAATATGGACTGAGCGTTCTGTCTGCTCCAGCCCAGGGAGGCACGGCCTCTGGGGGTGTGCCCTTTCCTCACAGATCTCATGATCTTACTGGACAGAGACGCACACGGACAGACACTGTGCCGGGAGACTGGAGCCAGAGCTGTCCTGGAAGAGCGGGGGTGACCTCCCAGAGAGGGGACACTTTGAGAAATGACAAGGAATTTTCCAGGCTAAGAAGGAGCCAGCTTCTAGGTGCAAAAGGAGAATGGTCATGCCATCTTATCTCCCATCCTCCCAACACCCACTCAAATCACATGGGAGAGGTTCCTTCATCGAAATAGGAGGGGACTTCAGAAAGTCTGTGGAAAAATGGAATTAAAAGGTAAGTTTACTTTGGTGCAAAAATTTTGAAATCCATGCACAGTGTTTTCATAACACACATTTTCCATGATCCTTGTACATAGATTTCAACACTTTTTTTGCAACAAAATGAATTTACCTTTTAATTCCATTTTTCATGAACTTTTTGAAGTGCTCTGTGTGTAAAACCACAAGGTTGAAGAGAAAGGCAAGGAGAGCAAGAGGAGCAACAGGATTTCAAAGTTGGGAAGCACGTGGAAAAGCGGAAACCAACTCAGTCAAGCCCAGGCAGCTGAACTCCAAGCTGGCGGTAAGAGGAATAAAACTCCCCCTTTAAAACAAAGTTTACTGGGGCCCGCATTGTGACACAGTGGGTAAGGCTGCTGCCTGCGATGCTGGTGTCCCACGTGGATGCTGGCTGGAGTCCTGGCTGCTCCACTTCCAATCCAGTTCCCTGCTGATCCACCTGAGAAGGCAGTGGATGATGGTCCAAGTGCTTGGGCCCCTGTACCTATGTGGGAGACCCTGAAGAAGCTCCTGGCTCCTGGCTTCAGATCAGCCCAGCTCTGGCTGTTGTGGCCATATGGGGACTGAAGTAGCAGATGGAAGAGCTCGCTCTCTGTCTGTCTCTCTTTCTCTGTAACTCTGCCTTTCAAATAAATAAATAAATCTTTAAAAATATATTTATATGAGAGGCAGAGACACAGAGAAAGAGAGGAAAGATAAAGAGCTCCTATCCACTGGTCCGCTTCCCACAGTGGCCGGGACTGGTCTGGGGCCAAAGACAGGGGCTAGGAACTCAATCTGGACCTGCCCTGTGGGTGCAGGACCCAGCTACTTAAGCCATCACCATTACCTTCCACAGCGCATGGCAGCAGGAAGCTGGAGTCAGAAGCCAGAGCTTGGCTATCAAACCCAGGCACTCCAGTGTGGGATGTGGGTGTTTCAACTGCGAGGCTAAATGTCCACCCCGGAACTTTTCCTTTTATACCAAAGAAATCCCCAAACAGCAGAGGACCTGGCAAGCAGCACCTCTAGAACCGGAAACGGGGGGTGGGGGGGAGGTTCAGAGGTGCTTGAGAAGCAGTGGCTCTCTGGGCTCCTTCACCCACCTCCTACCACGGGAAACGGCTCGCCCCTCCACAGCCAGTGAGGTTTGGTCTCTGCAGGTGTAAGTTTGCCTTGAGGGGAAGCAGCATAGATGGGAGCACGGCTGTTCTATGAAAAACAAGGTAACAACCATCTGTTCAAAAATAAGTGCTTTATGCTGAGAGCCCACCCGGCCCTCTAATCTGCAAGACTTCCAGGAAACTTTTCCCCGGGGATCCAGCCAGCCCGAGAGGAAAAGAACTACAGAGACCTACTCGGCAGTCCCAACAGCGGTGACCAGGCCACCCACAGGGAGACCCCCATCTCCAGGCTCTCCTACCTGCTCAGAATGTCTCGTCAGTTTTGTGGTGCCTCACTCACGATCACTACCTGCCGGCCAGATTCTAACACAGCTGAGGGAAGCCTGTCATGCTAATTAAAGACCAAACAAAACAGAAAGACAGCAAGCTGGAAGAAACACAGAACGACGCGTGGAGGAGGAAACTTTTAGAATAAAACTACCACCAACAGTCTCTGAGAGCGAAGGGAAGAAGCTGCACTCATGAGAAGAGCAAAGACTAGGAGAGAGGGACAGAAGCAGCTCCTGGGAAATTAAACCTCAATGGAAGAGCTGAAAGACAAAACTGAGGAAGTCTCCCAGAGTGTAGAGCAAAAAGACAAATAGACGAAAGGACGAGAAAACAAGGGAACAAGCCCAGGAGATCAGAAATCCAGCAAGAGCAGAGCAAACAGGAGGAAGAAGTCAATGTCAGAGCAGAGTATCGAGTTTCCCAGGACCAGCCGCTCTCGGTTTCCAACTGAAGGCATCAGAGCGTGCCCTGGGACGGGGAGACCCACATCAAAACACACGCTATGAAACATTAGGACACTCACAAGCTTCCAGGGAGAAAGGCCAGTCACGTGCAAAGAATGAGGATACAAGTGTGTTACAGCTCCCGACAGCAGCATGGGAAGCAAGAAGAAGGTGGTAGAGCAATGTCTTTTAAAATTCTGAATGGAGGAGCCGGCATTGTGGCTTAGCAGGTAAAGCACTGCCTGCGACATCGGCATCCCGTGTGAGCACCAGTCAAGTCCTGGTTGCTCCACTTCTGATCCCGTTCCCTGATAATGCACCTGGGAAAGCAGCAGAAGGTGGCTGAAGCGCTTGGGCCCCTGCACCCACATGGGAGACCTGGAAGAAGGACCTGGCTCGTGGCTTTGGTCTGGCCCAGCCCTGGCCATTGCCGCTATTTGGGGAATGAACCAGTGGATGGAAGCACTCTCTCTCTTCCTCTCCCTCTCCTTCTCCCTCTCTCTCTGCTTCTCCCTTTCTCTCTGTAACTCTGCCTTTCAAATAAATTAATTAATTAAAAAAATAAAATTCTGAATGGAAATTATTTTCAACTTAGAATTCTATACCCAGCCAAACTCTCCATCAAAAGTTTTATAAAAAAAAAAAAAGGCATTTTCAGACACAAGTCATCCAACATTTACTTCATGTGTAGTCTTTCTAGAAACCAGCAAAACAGGAATGCAAGTCAACAAAGGGAAAACTGTGGAATACAAAAGCAGGAAATCATCACCAGAGAGAGGTGAAGGGACAACTATAGGGCAGGGCAAAGGGAGACTCCAGGGTGACAACAGTGCATGGCACAAACAGCTGAGTCACACCGGAACAGAGGGCCCAAAGGAAGACAGCTCCAGAACCTGCCGGCACAACACCCTCTGCTGCTGTGCCATCTTCAGGACTTTGCAAAGCTCCTGGGGCAGGACTTCAACAAAGCCAGGGAATAAACCAAGAAAGGAAGACATAGATCCAGAAAGTCGAGGCAAACCCAGGAAAAAGGCAAAGACAGCTGTGTCTCAGCCCTGAAAGGCCACCAGTTCAGACAAAAGAAAATGCACATGTCCAAGGGGGAGGTCTCAAAGGAGGTAATGGGATGGCCCTGACCTCGGGGAGCATTATGTCAAGGGGCTATTAGAAGGTGTAAGAAACACAGGCAATAGATTCCCCAAAATAAAGAAAGAAGCAGTAAGGAAAGTACTAACCTTAGGGAAAACAGAAAAAAGAAATATAATCACATATTCAGTTATATAAGCAGTAATATGGAGAAATAAGAAGGCAAACAGTAAATGCTGATTTAAGCAAAAATTATGACACAGCTACATGGAAAAGATAAGTGGCGGGAAACAGAGAAAATGATGGTGAAGCACTAACACCTCAGCCACACGAACTGGAAGACAACCAAGAGCACCCGGGACTGAAGATTCGGGGCAGGCACCTGGCACAGTGGTTACAAGGCTGCGTGCAGAAGGAGGCAAGGTAATACCACTTTATTCTTAAAACTGTATCTGTGGACTACATCGAATCTCTTCTCTTTAACATCACACTAACACGAGAATTGTGTTGTGGTAATTTTTGTGCATTTGCAGTGACCCTGAGAATCTATTTAATAAATTCCTTAAAACACACACACACACACACACACACACACACACACAGTTTGGGACACCTGCATCCCATATCAGGTGCCTGGGTTCAAATTCTGTCTCCACCTCTGATTCCAGTTTCCTGTTACTGTGCATCGCGAGAGGCCAGCAGTGACAGTTCAAGTAGCTGGGTCCTTGCCACCCTCATGGGGGACCCAAGAATGAATCCCCAGATCTGGACTCGGGTCTGGCCCAGTCCTGGCTGTTGAAGGCACTTAGAGAACAAACTAGTTGAGTGAAGATATCTCTCCCTTCTTCTTTTCAAATACATATGTAACAATAATAAAATATTATAGGCTTAAAAGTTACAAGTATTCCTATATTACTCAGCACTGTGGCAATGTTTACCTGTCGGAAGAAACAGCTAAAGCAAGGACCAGTTGCTTCTGCAAAGACAAATAAGTAGGAGATACTGTGTTTTGATGTGTCTTTTAGTAGAACTTGAATCTTATTAAACTGTGTGCACTTACTAATTTGATCAAATAAAATTTAAATTTCCTTTAAAATTAAGGATTAAGAACTTCCTAAATAGAGAAAACAGCATATGAGAAGCATGGTGCCAAGGCAGCATTGTGATGCCGAAACACTGGCACCCTGTATCTGAATGCGGGTCCGTGTCCTGGCTGCTCCCCTTCCTGCTGATGTCCCTACAGAAAAGCAGAAAATGGCCCAAGTCCTGGGCTCCTGCCACCACGTGGGAGACCTGGATGGAGCTTCCCATCAGACCCAGCAGATGGAAGACCTCCCTCTCTCTTTCTCTGTCTCTGTCTCTCTGTCCCTCCCCTTCTCTCTCCGTCCCTCTGCCTTTCCAGGAAGTAAATGAATGGAAAGTAAATGTAAGTAAATAAAACAAAAAACATGGCACAGTGAAAGAACCAGTTTGCTCTCAGAAACTGTCACAGAGGAGACCAGGGTGCAGACCCTGCAGACAGCAAAAGCCCATGTCCTGCGCCCAGCCTGGTGGACGCTGGCAAGTCTCTATCCCCTCCCAGCTCTCTCCTCTGTAAATTCGACTAATAATAGCACTTACTTCACAGGGTTCTGTGAGGTTTCAACAACAATGGAAACGGAAAATTGCGAAATACATCACGCTGCTGTTCTAAGGTAAGGGACACAGGCAGGCGCAGCGTCCTCAGCCTGGAGCTCACAGGGCCTTGGGTGAGAGTGAGAGCCACCCCTGAGAACTCGGCCCCAGAGCAGCTGCCTGTGGTGGACGAGTTCCCTGGGGTCAGGACATGTCAGAGCTGGAGACCATCACTGCCCCTGCTTTTCCACAACAGTGGGTTCTGGACCTGGGACCCTGGAACTGCTGCGTAGTGGGGGTGGGAGGGCTCTGTGGGGCAGTTATTGCTTCAGTCCCCCCAAGGAGCTCAGCAAAAGCCAAGAAGCCTTCGTTTCCAACCCTCACACAGTTCTTACTGTATGCTACGTACTCTCCCAAATGTTTCGCAAGGATTAACTCACTCAGTCTTGCATCAGCCCTAGGAAGCTCATGCCATTATGATCCCATTCTACAGATGAGTGGCTGAGGGGCTACGTAGCCTGCTCAACACCATGGAACTGCAGGACTCCAAGCCAGGCCGTCCGTTCCAGAGCCTGAGTCGGAGTCATTACATGTCCCTGACTCTCAGGCCTGAGACTCCCAAACCTCAAACTACCCAACTGGAAAATGGGGATATTTGGAGAGATTGCAGCAAAGATCTGTTTCAACTAGAGAACTTCTTGTCTTAGAATGAAGATTCATCCCTCGTGGATGTATGAAGAGCAGGGAGGAGAAGTGCAGGTTTATCGTGGCTCCAGAACGGGAGGAGGCATGGACACCAGCCCACACAGGGAGCTTAAGCTAGAGAGGAAGCTAAGAAAGCAAACATCAACCGGCACAGTGCTGCGCACACAGCCCACCTCCCCACCATGCTTGTCCCCATAGCCCCCTGGGACCCTGCTGTGGAACACACAGACAGCCGCATTACCTGTGACAATGCAGGTGAACCTGACGTCGCTGTCCTCGGACACAGCCTTGGACTTGAGCGTGGTCTCGAATAGGGGCTGGGTCTCCTCTGTTAGCTGAGCAATGATGGAGCAGAAGGTGCTCCTAGGAGAGGCAAAGAGCTATTCAGAGCAGCCCTCCCTTGCAGGACAGAGCAGCCTGGCCTTGTCCCAGGCAGCTAAATCTTACCGTGTCTGCCCAGGAGCCGTCCTGGGGCCGCGGCTCCAGCACCTGGGCAAGCCTTTCTTCAAGGGAGGCCGGGCCTCTTGGCCAGACTGTGGGCAGGGATGCTACTAGGGGTCAGATATAATTCTGATCCAGTCCCATTACAACAGAGGTCTCTTGGCCCTGGGGCCAGCCTCTTGAGCATGCCCAACTACCAAATCAGGTACCCCTTTGGGTATGGGGTGGGGGCAGGTGGGGGCTGGCTTCTTCTTTTCCTCTCCAGGGAAGCAGGTACATGGTGGGAGAGACAACATAGGTCAAGCTCAGAATGGAGCCCCCAGCAGAGAGAGCTTCCATTCATGCCAGAGAGGGAAGAGCCAGCCAACCTTTTCAGAGCCGTGAGGCCCCAAAGAGGGGGAACTCATAGGGCCCAGGAGCCCAGAAGCTTGGGATCAGAAGGAAAGCTCCTGTGTGTGAGCTCAGACCCACAGTGGACCAAGAACGAGCTGGCGATGCCAGAGGCCCAGTTCCAAAAGTGGGCTCTCATTCCTAGGATTATCAGAAAAGAGACCCAAATGAATTCTGATCCCAAACAGAGCTCGGGAGCCACAGTGCAAAACCAGCCACGGCTGCCCTGAGCCATCCCTGGAGACCACATGCTGAAGTGCACACAGCGCTGGCAGCTCAGGCCAACCAGCAGGACTGCCAAACCACAAACAGATCCACCCCCGCACAGCCATAACCTTCAGTTCTCTTGGGGCAGTCCATCTCCCAGGACTCAGGGCTATCGTGGCTTACTGAGTCCAGCACAAACTCACCGTCCTCTCCCTCCTGGGCACAGGAAGCCGACCACTGCCCCAAGCCCTCCCCCGGGCCGACAGACACGGTGCATCGGTGCATCGTTCCCAGGCGTGAAGCACAACCACGCAGCCAGGCTGTGCGGTGCACAAGCCGTGCCCGCCCTCCTCCCCTGCCCTAGGCACGCACCTACCCTCTGTGAGCAGCAGGGATGTGGGGTGGAAGGGAACAGGAGGGGGGGGTAGACAATCATCCAAAGGTGGGGTGGTCACCCAGGGTGGTGTTTGTGGGCAGCCTCTCCTCCAGGGCAGGGTGAGTGTGGCGCACAGGCAGACAGATCTGTAACCTTCCATGCCTGGGGGAGGAGCTCCATGGTCAGTGGAGGTTTGTTTGGTTTTGTAACTATCACTCTGGACTTGAATTTGAGGAGAAAGGCTGCACCCCAGGAGAATGTCTGGAATCAACTGAGACCTTTGGCCCAACAGGGCCACCTGTGGTTTCTCCGCAGGAAGGCAGATGCCTGGGTGGCTGGGGTTCATAGGAGCGAGCCCTCCACAAGAAGACTACTCAGAAAGAGGGTCCCAGCTCTCACGCTCCCAGACACTATCCCCTTCCCCTCCCTGCAGGGCTCTCTCATTCACGACCTGCTGTGTGAGCTGCTTGTCCTGTCCCTTGTGAGCCACTCAGAAGGTCCCTGGGACTTCGGCCACCAGCTCCCTCAACGCTCAGGAAATGGAACATTTGAAAACGGTTCTTGCTGTTCCCACACTAAGCAATGTCTGACTTTGGGAATTACCAAATCTCACTCAACAGTTCCTAGAAACTGTCAGGCCAAATGCAATTCTAGTTCTACAATTCAGTAATTCACACCAACAGCCACAGTCCTCCTACGTAATGGGAACACTACCTTGTCCATGAACTGAGCCTGGACCCAGGCTTCTGCATAGGCTTATGGGCGGGAAGGTGCTTGTGCCAACCTAGGAAAACCACTTCAGATCCACAGGCATGAGACAAGGAAGCTATGACTCAAGCAAACTTGCAAAGGCAAGCGCTCAATGCGGGCAGTGATGGAATCTGCTACCCTTTTAGACAAGAGCACTTAACTCCTCAAACTTTCCACATTAGTCCCCAAGCTACATTGTATTCAACATGTCGACATGGGAAAACCCTAAGTGACTGCTGTAAGGTGTGGCGACACAACAGCCCTCCCTCCAGGGAAGTGGGTGTGGGCTACATTTTGGGGCAGGGAGAGTCCCTGTGGACGCTGTCTTCCTCCAATGAATGTCACACAGCTTTTCATTGCCATGAACTTTCTGGCCCCTAGAGCTTTCTGCCAAACTACTCAGACTTGGGATGGGACTGAGGGGGCGGCACCCAGTCCCGTGGGAAGCCAGGAAGTCGGGGCTGTCATTGTGGTGTAAAGCCGCCACCTGCAATGCCAGCACCCCACAGTCTCTGCTGCTCCACTTCTGACTGCTCCCGTGCATCGTCTGGGAAAAGCAGAGGATGGCCCAATTACCTGGGTCCCTGCCACCCACGTGGGAGACCCAGATGTGGCTCCTGGCTCCTGGTTTCAGCCTGGCCCAGCTCTGGCTGTCACAGCCATCTGAGAAGGGGACCAGCAGATGTTCCTCTTCTCAGTAATTCTTTCAAATAAATGAATAAATCCTTTTTAAAAAGAAAGCCTGGCAGTCCACCTCCACATCTGGAGACGGTCTCGTCCAACCCTGACGCCACCAAGCCCTTCCAGCTCCATGACTTCAGGAGGACAGCACAGACCAACCAGGGGTCCGTAAGGAACCCCGGAATCCCTGGGCTTCACAACGTTCAGAGGAACCTGACGTTGGCCTTGCCTTGCTTTGACTGAACACACTACCCTCTACTTTGAATGAGCTGTGATGGCTTCTCCTTCTCTCACCCGTGAGCCACTCAGAACAGGCTCCTCAATGTTCACCCCCATCCAGGTCACGTGCCTGGCGGTGCTCAGCATGGCCATAGATAAGAGCAGCTCTTCAGATACCTGCCACTCAGTCATCTTTGGGAATAGGAACTGCAGCCAATCTCCCCAAATCCACCAGAGTCTAGGATGAGGTCCAAGTGGTGGGGAGTAGCAAGGATGTGCTCCCACCCTGATCATAAAAGTCAGTTCAGCCAGGACAGTGGTCCCCTGCTCAGGAGGCAAAAGGGCCATCATTCAGGCAGCAAATCTCGACCATGGGCTCGCTCAGGCCTCGCCCTGGCTCTGCAGCACGTCATAAAATACGCTCATGCAGGAACACGTTCTCACACGGTACACTGTCTTTGGGGGCACAGGGCAGCTGGAGGAAGGCAATTCAGAGAACAAGGAGGTAAAAGGAGAACTTAAGGGACTGCAGAATGAAATGAAAAGGCAGCAGCCAAAGTCAGGGGAGACAAAGAAAGGTGTCAAACCTCCATATGGGGCTACGGAAACCATGAAATCCAGGAAGAGGACGGGTCACGTGACTGGCAGCTCCCTGTGCTAGTCCCAGGGCATCTCTCCAGGGGCAAAGAGATGTTATCGCAGGCCCCTAGGGACCACTGCCCACATTTCTATTCTTGAGTCCCTGTGCTCCTTTCAAATGACCCATGCAAACTTCAGTCCTGGTCCCTGTGAGGGCCATGCTCACGTGAGACCTCCTCACCTCCCCACTCCTCCACCCACCCCTCTCCCCATGCAGCCTCATTAGTGCACAAGCAGCCCCCCAGTGGCCCCTGAGTGCCCAGACCCAAGAAAAGAGCAATCCAAGGAGTGGAATGCAATGTGCATTTACCTTCCAGAGCTTGGGTGAGGCAGCCGGTTGCTGGATAAGCTAAGCAAAAACAGCAAATGGAATCATTAGGCCCAAAAGCAAGGGGAGGAGGAGGCGAAATCAACAACAGTCGCAAAGTATTAATCGGCCACCATCTGGGGCCCGCAGGCCTTTCTATTAAAAGGGCCCAGCTGTCTTAGTTGGCCTGCTCCAGTTAGCAAGCGGCCTCACCACCGGACACCAACGCATCTGAAACCAAGAGCTCGTTAAAGGCAGCAGAGTCCAAGAACGTGGTTAGGCAGGAGGGGGGCCCCCCGGGGCTGTGCTCTGAGAAAGGTGTGTCCCAGCACTCGGGTCACTGCCCCCAGGACGGGAGCTTAGCGCTCCCTGGCACCTTGCCCAGCCCCGAAGCTCTCCAGGCCTTCTGGGAGAGAAGAGTCCAGTTCCTGGAAACCCCCCTGACAGGCCGGGAAGGAGACAGGTGGCTTATACAACACCCACCATTAATATGTTAAAGTACAGTTAAAGAGTCGCAAGGCAAACCAGCCCGGAGAGGGAAGAGGAGAGAAACAAAGCAGTTAATTCAGCAGGAGCCAGGCGTCCAGCTCCTCAGTCAGTCCAGCGCCAGGCCCACCCCCTGCCCGGAGGCTGGATCACCCCTCCCACCTGGGGCAGCTGGGAACAGACCGGGTGGGGACCCACACAGGGCTGCCCTGAGCACAGCTGGGCCCACTCGGTGTGAGTCAACTGCTACTCCCCTCCGCCTTTCCCAACACAAACATCTGCAGCCCTCGCCCGGCTCCCTGGGGTCCTCTGGGCCCGCCCATCACACTCACTCCCTGCAGTGAAAAAGCTCCCTGCTTCACCCGCACGTCTGAAGCTCTCCGAAGATCCCATCTCTGTAATCACAAAACCAAACTCAGTGTCTTCCCCAAAACCTGGCTTTCCTCCAGGGCTCTTGGTCTGTGGGTTCCACTGGCATTCTCCAAACTCCTGAGCTCAAAACCTGCCATGTCGGGGCTGGCACTGTGGCACAGCCGATTAAAGCTGCCGCCTGTGACGCGAGCCTCCCATATGGATGCTGGTTTAAGTCTCACTGCTCCACTATTTTTTTGTTTGTTTTTTAGATTTATTTATTTTATTTGAAAGGTAGAGTTACAGAGAGGCAGAGGCAGAGAGAGAGAAAGAGAGCAGTCTTCCATCCACTGGCCGGAGCTGAACAGATCTGAAGCCAGGAGCCAGAAGCCTCCTCCGGGCCTCTCATGCAGGTGCGGGGGCCCAACGATCTAGGCCATTCTCTACTGCTTTCCCAGGCCATAGCAGAGGGCTGGGTCAGAAGTGGAGCAGCCAGGACACAAACCAGCACCCATATGGGATGCTGGCACTGCAGGTGGCGGCTTTACCCGCTACCCTACAGCACCGCTCTTGCTCCACTTTTGAGCCAGCTCCCTGCTAATGTGCCTGGGAAAGCAGCATAAGATGGCCCAAGTGCTTGGGCCCCTGCCACCCATGTGGGAGACTGGATGAAGCTCCTGGCTCCTGGCTTTCCCCTGGCCCAGCCCTGGCCTTTGTGGCCATTTAGGGAGTGAACAGATGGAGGATCTGTCTGTCTCTCCTTCTCTCTGTAACTCTGCCTTTCAACTAAATAAATCAATCTTAAAACAGAAAACAAACCACCATATTGGACCCCCCTGCCCCATTCCCCCAGATCCAGTAAGACAGTTCTGGGCCCTTCTTTCTCCCCTTCCCTCTACTCCTGTGTTCTGACTTAGACTCCCAACTCCATATTTCATGACCACTTCTACCCGCTTCTCCTTAACCTCTCACATCAGCACCACTCGTCTGAACAAAACGCTGCAGTACCGCCACTGGACGCTACATTGTGCCGCAGCTCCTTGGCTGAGCTTTTCAGACCCTTGCTGATCTGCTCACACCCTCACCATCACCATGGCTCTCTTCTTCCCAGTATTCAGCGGGCATGGGTGCGGCCATGGCCTTCACTTCTGCTCTTAACGAAGTCCTGTGTTCTCAGCCTTCAAAGCTGGCCAGTTTTGTAGCTCTGTGGTTCTCCGCACAATGCTGGGCATACAATGGGTATTCAACCACTGTGGTGTGGAAGGAAGATAGAAGAGGCAGGGAAGACAGGGGGATGCGTTTTCAAACAAGAAGGGTTCTGGCCTGCACCCTACCCTCAACCGCCAAGGGAGCTGCCGCCCCAGAAAAGTCGGAAAGGAACAGTGAGCTCCGAGCTTTAGAAAGCCTCTGGAGGCTGCGTGGGCAGAGCCTCCATGGTCCCAAGGCATCCCTTCCTGCCGGTTCACTTCCTTTGTCCCTCTCCTCAGAGTGGAGATTTCTCCTTTGGGTCTGGGGAGGACAGGGGGCAGTTAGCTTTCTAACTCAGAAGGGACAATGCCAGGGGCAGGGACTGAGCTGGACTGTGATCTCTCCCCGGCTCTCTCGGGGGCTGTCTGTGAGGCTCTGGTCCCTGGCCTCACTGTCCTGCTCCCTCTGGGCCTCACCCTTACAGCCTGGGCCTATGGGGGACTATAGGAGGCAGAAGTCCCACCAGCGTCCTGCTGACTAGGCCAAGACCAGGCCAGGGCTCTCAGTGACACAGGGGAGCCTCCCCATCTACGGCTTCCAAGCAAGACAGGAGCAGAAGTCTCAAATGTTGGGGCAGAAAAGCTTTAAAGAGATCTCCATGTGAAATGGGAACCCAGGGGCCTGGAAGGAAAAGGTTACTCCTTTAAGAGTAAAGTGGGCCCAGGGATTAGAGGGGAGCCAGGACTGGCTGTGGAAGCCAGGGCCACCCATCCTTCCTGGCTCTCATCTGCCCTGAGACATAAAAGGCCCTTGCAAAGTCCTGGCTGGCTTGACTCCTCAGTTTCTCTAAAAACCTGAGCTAGGCAGAACAGCAGAGGTCGTTTCAAAGCTGTCTGGAGAAACGTCACAGGATATGCTGTGTCTCTAAGTCCAAGAACCAAGAAACAAGGGAGCCAGGGATTTCCCGAACTTCTCAGTGTCCTGCAAAAGCCAATTAGTCACCACTGCTTCCAACCGACTGCACAACCTTAACCTCCTCTAGCATCCCCACATTACCTTCCTGCAGGGGTGCAGGCCCTGGGGCTGGGTGGCCGAGGAGGCTGGGCCGAAAGGCTGGATGGGCTACCTGTGTGCTGGGCCTCAGACCCCGGTGGGCCCTGGAAATATCCTTCAGCTGGCCTTGGACTGGAAACCCTTTGGCTATGGGCCAGGGAGTGCTGATGTATGTGGAGAAGAGCAGTTCGGGATCCTAAACCAAGGCTCCTGGGGTCCCGGCCACCAGTCCAGCCAGCCAGCCGCTCCCAGGAGCAGCCCAGCCTCCTGATGGCTGTGACAATGCCTCCGGGGTTCCAGAGACGCACAGACAGGTAGACTCAGAAAACGCCGGACACGAGACTGAGGGTCTCACTCAGGGCTGGGCAGAGCTGGAGCCAGACACGGCAGGCCCCAAACGGGTCCTCCTTCTTTCTTCCTCCTGGCCTGGGCCCTCCCTGCATCCCCAGGGCAGCCAGGCTGTTCTGAGGGACAGCAGAATGCATGGCTTTGCTAGAGAACTGCAAACCACCCCTCTTCTACTTTCCAATGCAGCCCCACTCACATTCGCCCCTCTTTGACCAAAGCCTTTTCCAGAAAAATCTGGCTCCTTTATCCCTCAAAACCTGTGACCTACTGGCAGGAGCAGTGAAAAACTGCAAGGACAGAACAGAACCTGGTCCACGGCTGGAAAACCCTCTCTCCCAACAGTCCAATCTACTCCCCCCAAATTCTTAGATACGTTTTCTGAGCACTCCCATGTAGGTCCAAGGGGACTTAAGCAGACAGCCCCCAGCTCTCAGGCTGGCACATGGTCATCAGGTGTGCAGTAAAACATGGGCACCATACCACAGCAGCACCTGTTCACTCTCCAGCCTTCTCCTCAAAGCCCAGGCCCTCTGTTCTGCCTGGTTCTCTGGTTCTCCATCCTTGTCCTCTCTCCAGTCTGCTGTCTCCAGTAAGGATCCTACTTCCTGCCCATCCACTTGTCTCCTTGTATTGATAAAGCCCAGACCCAGGAGGCCAATCCCAGACAAGGTGCTGTGTTGAGTGGGGCTCCGACAGGAAGCCAGCTTTGCGAAGCACTGGAATAAACGTTCCCATTTCCTTCTGGGTTTTCCGTAGAGCCAGTACTCAGGAGAAGGGGGCATTCTTTCCTGGCAGCCAGGAAACCTACTGAATCTGACTCAGTCACTAAGACCAGTTCTGGGCCCTGCCCTAGACATGTGACACCATTTGACAAGTTTTATGCAGAAACCGGTTCCGGTTACAGTTGAACTTTTCCAACTCCAAGGTCAACAGGGCTCAGCCAATCCCGAGGAAGTGCCCAGGACTTTTCCTGAATGTCCTTGGCGCCTGTTTTTGTGTTCTTTTATGAACAGAAAACAGGAGGTCTGTGGACAGTGTCTGAGAGGAGTGGCTGTTGTCTGCAGGATTGACAACCACCCAGATTCAGGGCACCAGGAACCCCTATCCCAACAGCCAAACCCTCACATTTCCCTTTAGGAAGGAGGCTCCGGGGTGAGGGAGCTGAGCGACAGGAAGTGTGCCTCCATGGCAATGCACCTGCCATGTCCTATCTGAGGGCCCTCAGCTTCTCAGTGTCCACCTGTCTTAACTGTCTACGCCAACCTCGCTCCTAAAACAACTCAACCTCCCCTCCTTAGCTCTTGGAAGCCCCCTGAAGGGCTCCTCACCGCCCCTCCCCGTAGCTGGGCAGGGCAAAGGGGGTACCCCCAGAGTTCCACACCCTCAATCGCCACATCCCCAGTAGGGCCAATCCATGCCTCAAGGCATCCCCCATCTCACCAGCCCCCACGAAGATGCTGGACCCCCCCCCCCAAGGCCTTCTCTCCCCACCTCCACTTCTTATCTCTCCCACCTCAGCAGAGCAGCCCCCACAGTGCCCTCCTGTCAGTCCGGAAGGAATGTCTGCCACTCGGCCCTGCTTATCGCTGCCTGTGGAATCCGAGGCCAGGCAGCCAGGGCCCAGGCACGGGAGAGATAAGGAAGGCCTTCCGCCCTGGGAAATCAGTCCCAAAGGAGAGGGCCTCAATCCTGTCTTGACTCCCTGTGGCCTGGGGCCTGGGGCCCACGAGCCGCAAGAGGACAGAGGGAGCTCAAGGCCCGGGCCTTGGGCCTTCAGGCTCAGTGTTCGAGGGCGCGGCCGCCAGGGGCTGACCAGGCCTCCCGGAGGCCCCACGCGGCCACCCGGCCCGCCCGGCCCCCGCAGCGCCACTCACCTGGTCTCGGGCCGCACGCTGAGCAGGTAGCTGCGGCTGGCGGGGCTGGGGGTCCACACGGGCCCATCGTCCTCGCCATCGCCCCCAGCCCCCGACCGTCCCCCGGAACCCCAGCCACGGCTGGGGAGCCTCCGCGACCCCATGGCGCCCGCCTTTCCGCCTGCCGTCCCTCAGGCCTCCCCTCCGGCCAGGCCTCTCGGCCTCTGCCCGCCGGCCGCCGCTGTCGCCCGCGGCTGACGCGCGCCCCTATTTATAGCCCCGCGGCCCCGCCGTCACCTGCTGCTGTCCCTCCCCCGCGCGGCCGGCCGACGCAGCTCCAGGACGCCGGGGGTGGGGGCGCCGGGCCGCGGGGCCTCGCTGCCAGCCCTGGCCCGGGTCCCTGTTTCCCTCAGGCGCAACCAGAGGCGGCTGGAGTCTCCCGGAGTGGGGGCTCTTGGGACGAGCTGCAGATGTGCCCCTCCGTGGAGCTCCTGGGACCCCCGCTTCCCGCTCCCTCAGGCTTTGCAGAAGAGGAAGCTTCTAGAAGCAGCTTGGGAGCTTGGGCCGACCCAGTGGAGATGAGGCTGCCTCCGGAGGACCGGCCTCCTCCTGGCCCCAGTGCTTGGGGGTCCAGCACTTACATAGCCCCAGCCACCTCAGTTTGTGGCCTTGGGGGGGGCGGCTGGGGCTCAGCCCCTCCAGTCTTCGTGTTCCAGTGCCAGAGGGAGGTCATGGGCTTAGCCCTGACACCCGGAAAAAATATAATTTAAATCATTCCACAGTTTCCCACAGCAAGATGCTATGCATTGCCTGCACATGAACACATGTGGATAGCCCCTGGAGCCGCAGGCTGAACTGTTGGAGAGTGGGAGCAACCACCCACATCCCTGCTCCTTGAAATGGCTTCCCGCACTCTGCTGGGTGGCTCCAGTGGCAACTCCCAGGTTCCTGCAGATTCTACTGTGGCAGGTGTTGACTGGCACCTGACTCAGCCCCAAGCTGTGCCAATTCACATTCTTCACCAACGTTTTACGTCTGGAATTGAGAAGGAAAACCAGTCCCCTTGTAGTGAGCTCAAGCTCTCAGTAGCCACAGCTCTTGCTGGGTGGAGGTGGTTGGTCTACAGGGAGGAGGGGCCCAGAGTCCTGATGGTTGGTGCCTTGCTGCACACGTTCCTGAGAGCTGGTGTTATAGCTTGCGTAAGTGTAGGTGTCCCCCAAACGGTCATGTGTTGGAGACTTGATCCTCAGAATTATGTTAAAGGATTAAGGTTGGCACTTAATCCAATAATAGTGTCTGAAGGTGTGGCCTTGGAAAATGACTGGATTAGGATTAAGTTGTTAGAGAGGAGCCTCTAAAAATCAAAGAATGGTGGCTTTTTAAGGACAGAAGATAATCGTCTCTCTCCCTGTGTCTCGACTTCCAGGCTCACCATGGGGTCCCTCCTCCACACACGCTCTGCCTTTACAAGCCTCGCCCTCATCAGACACTGGGACCATTGGGGCTGCTAGATCTTGGACTGTGAACCTCCGAAACTGTGAGCTGAAGTCAACCTTCTTCCTTCCTCAGTAGCTCCTCTTGGATATCTGAGTTGTCGTGCAGCCTTCCCGCAAGCTGGCCGCTCCCACTTGCCCTAGAATCTGTGTGCCAGGGAAGTTCTGCCTACGCCCCTTGAGCTTAGGTTTCCAAGAGTCCTGAGTCTTGAGTGAGGTCCTCCAGTGAGCGCCAGTCCATCTCCTGATCACACAACTCCATTTCTCTTTGTTCTTGGCTCTCTGGAGGTGCATCAGTTTAAACATTTCTTCAGTCATCTACAGCGCAAATATTCTTCAGAGATTTGCAAACTCACCGAAGTGTTGGTTCCTTTGTTTAATTCATGTGAACACCCATATGGCAGGCTAGGGTGTATGAGCTAGAGGCCGGAATTCCATGATCTGTGCCTGCGTGATACTTATCGTATAACTGGGAGACAAACATAGAGGCAAAATACAATGTAGGCGGAAGCATACACTAATAAAACTATGTACAGAGGAGCATAAAAGTAAAGTACAGAGTGGTTCGTTCATTCTACCTGAGGATCTGGTTCGGACAGTTTTATTAGGAAGAACTAAAGCTCAAGGAGAATTTTGAAAATTACATGGTCAATGACTGTGACACAGTGGGTTAAGCCCCTGCCTGAGACAGTGGAATCTTATGTTGGAGCACCAGTTCACGTCCCAGCTACCCAGCTCCCTGAAAATGTGCCTGGGAAAGCAGTGGAAGGTGGCCCAAGTACTTGGATCCTTGCCACCCGCGTGGGAGACCCAGAGAGAGTTCCAGGATCCTGGCCCAGCCCCAACTATAGTAGCCATTTGGGTAGTAAACCAATAAATGGAAGATCTCTCTCTCTCTCTCTCTCTCTCTCTTGCTCTGCCTTTCAAATAAATAAATAAATTAATTAATTAATTAATAAATAAATGTTGGGAGAGGAGGCTAAAGTTCAGGGGCAAGTGGATACCACCCTGAACTTTAGCCTCCTCCTTTGTGAAGGGGAGTGTGGCATGCCATTTATGTTCCTAAAGCTCACAGCCGTTCATTCCACAAGTGTTTATTCAGTGACTACTAACCACTCCATGCCAGGCGTTATGCCAGGTGCTGAGGGCACAGAGTGACTGAGTCATAATCTTTGCCTAAGGAACCTCCCAAGTCTGAAGGCAAGCTGGAAACAGCGTCGCCATAAATCCTCTGCCGGGGGGTTTGTGCAGGGCGCTGAAAGCACCCAGGGGAACACATGCTGTGGTTCTGCACTGGGAAAGAACGCTGCACAAGGCACCAGTGTTTGCTGTGAAATACAAGGACCGATGAAGCACTGTAGGAATTTGTTATTGGTGCCAGGATCCCATCTTCTGGTTGTTTTGAACTTCCCAGGACCCCAGAGTAAACAGAGTCCTTGCGGTAGGAAAATGTTGGGTTGCTGTGTAGGGACTCAGCGCAACAGGGGAAGCTGCTTGGTGCTGGAGCACACCGCAGCCCAGCCACCCAGCCTCCTGTCACTGAACATGACTGACTAGGTCCCACCTCTCCCCCTTCTGACTCGGCTCTTGCTCTTCCAATGCAAACAAAATTCAAAGGGGAAAACCCATCCTCCTTCATAGTGTACATTTTCAACCTTTAACCCCAGCATCTATCAGCTATCGGGGCATCATCCACGCTTCTTGCCATCTGCCACCTGAATTTATTAAAAACAATGGAATGGCCGACCCACATCGAGTGTCGCTGTGCCCCAGGTCATCCTGATGACTCAGCCGGCATTCTGACAGCAGGGCTGTTGACCTCATCCTCCCCAAGACTCCCCTTAAGCAGCCCAATCAAATGTCCACCACTCGAACCATGTCACCATGAATTCCTCCACCTTGCTATCCTTCCACCTCCCAAGCCTGCCCTCGACTTTAGGGCGACCCCCAAACTTCAGGCTCTTCACCCCAACCTCTACACTCTTCCCCTCCACATTTCCCCCCAAACTTTAGAGTATGTCTTTTGCTTTGAGGTACACAGAGACAGACACAGAGAGTGAACTCCCATCTGTTGATTCACTCCCCCAAATGACTGCAACAGCCCTAGGCTGGGAACCCAATCCCAGTCTCCCTCATCAGTGGCAGGAACCCAACTACTTGAGCCATTACTGCCGCCTCCCAGCACGCACATTAGCAGGAAGCTGGAGTCAGGAGCATCAGGCACTCCGATGTTCGGTGCAGGCATCTTAATGGCAAAGCCAAATGCCTGCCTTCCCCCTTCTCTCTCTCTCTCTCTCTCTCTCTCTCTCTCGTTCCTCCCTGGTTTCTCTTGTCTACCCTCCACTCCCCCATCTCCGCATGCACACAGGCACAGTGTGGAATGGACAATAACATCAACTTCACTTGCCCCGGGGATCTCATTTCACTTGCCCCTTGACCTTGTACTTGGTTTGCCTTGCCGGTTCCCAAGCTGCAGTCTGGCTGTGGCTGCTTCTTGCTCCAGGGAGAGCCAACATTTCTGGTTTCTCACCTGAGTCCAGTCCAGGCAACTCGGCAATCCTTTTACATTCTCCCAAGCTGACCCCTTCCTTCCACTATGGCAACTGCTCCAAACTGGATCCCAGCTTCTACCTCCATTGCCTCTTCACTTGCCATGGTCAACTGTTCCTTCATTATACAGGGAAAAGTAGGGGTGGGTGTTTGGCCTGAGAGTTAAAGTGCCCATGTTGTGTATTGGAGTGCCTGGGTTTCAGTCCCAGCTCCAGCTGTTTCCTGCTAACGTACATCCTGGCAAGCAGCAGTGATGGCAAAAGTAATTGAGTCCCTGCTACCCAAGTGGGAGACATGGATTGAGCCCCTGGCTCCTGGCCTTGGCCCCAGTTCAGCACTGGCTACTGTGGGCATTTGGGGAATGAAGCAATGATGGGCACTGTCTCTGTCTCTCTGACTTTCAAATAATTAAAATATAATAAAAAAAAAAAACAGGTAAAAGTGAGACCATCAGGCAAGAACGTCACCTCTGAAAGACAGGCTGTCCATATAATCTCTGTTCTAACTTCTGCTTCAAAATGAATCACCATTCTTTTCCGGGACTCCCAAACTCAGGGCTTTCTGGGCAGCCCTGCTCCGACCGCTCTGACCTCGCCTGCCGGCCGCCTTCCCCACAGCCCAAGGAGGATCAGGTGTTTGCTCTTCCCTGAGACGTTTACCCTTCCCTTCGCTACCAGACTCCTCAGAGGAACCCAAGGGGGACAGGGCAAATGGTGGAGCAGTAACGGGTTACCAGCTTTAGGTTATAAAGTGCGGACTCTGGCCTCCTGACCACAGCTCGACAGCTAGAGCTGAAGCCCAGGGCCCAAGCCAGCCCACCAACAAGCACAGCCAGATGCCGCTTCCTGGGGGTTCATGTGGGGTACGGGAGGCCAGAGTTGGTCCCCTGACCTGGAGCAGGGCAAGGTGAGAAGTACATATGGCTGTAACTATGAAAAACAGGCAGAATGGGAACCCGGCCGTCACTAAGTACCCTGTCCACCCGTTTCTCCACCCTGCCGTGGCAGGCCCTGCTGGGGCCCAGCCTGTACAGGGATGCCAGCCTCCTCCTCCAGGAAGCCCCTTTCACCTGGGTTTGCCTCCTGTCCTGAGTCAAATCCCATGAGTCTGAACTCCTTTTCCATGGAGCAGCCTACACAGGTGCGGAGAGAGATCCTGAGGCGTCTCTTTTCTTGATGACACGTCACAGTCCCCGAGTAGCCTTGTGTGACAC